TTTTTGGGTTTATTTTAGCCAACCTTGTTGGTGACATATGCCACCTATAAAACATCTTTAGCTGGTTTTCCTTGTAAGCCACCGCCAGAGTTGTTTTCATATTCATTTGCCAGAATTCTTCCCATTTGTCCAGTTCTATTGAGTATTTGAAATTCTGCATCCATTTAATCATTGTATGTTTAACTATTTCCTCCTCCATCATATACCTTAACAGAAGTTTATAAATTTTGCTGATTAGTTTCTCTCCAGAGTCTAATATAATGGTATCTATTTCCTGTTTCTCTTTACTTATTTGATATTCTTTTGTATATTCCTTGTGTTTCGATTGTATCTGTGAGAAGGTCCACCAATCAATTTCCTTATTTAATTCTGCTTCCAATTGTTGTTTGGATTTTAACTTTCCTTGGTGATCGATTAATTCTTTATATCTTATTATATTTTTGAATTCTGATAGATTTGGGTGTTTTAATGCTTCTGTGGGTGAAAGCCATAACGGAATTTTTGTATATTGTTGTTTTTTAGTTTTTAGCCAAATTTGTAATAAAGCCTGTCTAAGTGTATGCCTTTTAAAATAGGCGTGGGACTTATATTTTTCAACCCATAAAAAGGAATGCCAGCCCGCTTGCAGATCGTGACCTTCAATGGATAGTATTCTATTATTACTCAATTCCATCCATTCTTTAACCCATATTAGGCCTGCAGCTTGGTGGTAAAGTTCTACAGCACTGGGTTTTCTGATAACCCTTCTTTTGAGATTTTATAGTGGTGTCATTAGGCAAATGCTTTCTAGCTTTTCAGCATACCATGCTAGGTTTTTAACGAAGCTTCTGTGACCCTCCAATCATTGTATAGCAAGCAGATAAGAGTAGAATTCATTTGTTGGAACAATTTGGGTGATTATATAATATGGGTTATTCTTGAGGGTCAGATATCAATGCAAACTTTGTTGCTGTTATTGAGATGCCGTTACAGTTTGTGACAATAAATCATCATTTTAGAGATAGACAGTCTGGTCTGCTCCAGAATATCTTCCAGCCTAGCAAGTGGGAGAAGGGAATTTGTGTTTGTCCACAACTTGTGTAACTACTACTGTTGGGTAGAGTTTCATTGGGATGATTTGATCAGAAGATTATTTGAGTTAATTATCCCACCAAAGAAGAATTGTAAAAGAGATACCCTACTTTACTTATCAGGCAGGAACAACCAGACAGTTTTTGGTCCCTTTGCTGATATTCTACATGTACAGAAACCACTTTACTCCAAGTGTTAGATTTAATTGACATTTCACACCAAAGTGGAGGCATATTTCATTGCCTGCAATATTTGAAACAAAAGTTCAAATTGGAATATGCCCATTTCTCTTACCACTGCCCTGCCTAGCTATAGTTGCTTGGAATAGTAGTTTGGCTATACAATACTATGGATTTAATTCCAAAAAAAGAGCTTCATTGTGTGAACATAGCACCTGTCTTAGTACTTTTTAAAGCAGCTGTGACTTTTCTGGGGATCATAGAATATCTTACATGTGCTGTTTGCAGGCCATGTTGATTCTAGCAAGCTAAGTTCTCACATGTACTTTCATCTAAATATATTGACGAAAGTAGATGAAATAGAGAAAAAGTAGTACATGTGTAGACCCCATATGTCAGACCACATAAATAAGATAAAATTTGGGAAATACTCAGAGGTAAATAAAAGGTAATTTGGGATTTTATTTATTTACTTAGTGTATGGCAAGTAATTTGGACCTGTGCTTGTTATGGATGTGATTGAATCTGAAGCTATCATCATATTCAAAAGCCATATAAAATTGAAAGTAAAGAAGCCCTTTTATTTATTTTGTCTGATAAATGAGGTGCATCCCTACCTCATATAGGAGAAAGGCCTGTCTTTGGAGATGTAGGCATAGGTAGCTTCAATTATTGTAATGGAAATTTTTGATGAAAATGGTATGGAAGACAGTCCAAGAAATTCTGCTGGCCCAGAAATTGGCAGTACTGTCGAGCGAACATTGTTTGTGTTGGAACAGCTTCATGAATGGGTGGTTGCCTTCTAAGGTCATTACAACATATGCTCATTTAGAAAACATAAATGATTTGTACCTGGGTTACTAACAGACTTTCAGAATCCATCAGTATAGTAATTTTATGAAAGGCTGTAATTGTAATAATAAAAAACAAATGTAAACCTAAACAAAGATAGAAGAACAGAAAGAAAAATAGACGGTGGAGAAGAGAAAAAGGAAAGAAAAAGAATGAAAAGTAATAAAGAAAAATAAATCTATAAGTGATTTCTAAACTTCCTATCTATACCTATCAATTTTGGTAACTTGTCAACTCCTCTTAAAATACTCTCTTCTTCTCACATCCTTTTTTTTTTTATCTATAAATGAATCCATAAAGCATAATCATTTCACTCCCGGTGTCGGTGAAAAGTTCATTCAGGTTAACAGAAATGATAACAAATCTTTATGACTCTTGATCAAATAAATTTAATTTTTATATTCTTTCCTTTTATTCTTTCCTTTCCTCTTAATCTTTACTCCATTTAAATATTTATTTATTTTATTTTATTTATTTTATTTTGTTGAGTACATATTAGATAATATATATAAGTATAAGCATGAATTGAATACATAAAATGAGTACAATTAAAGAGAACATAATGTTCCCTTTAATAATAATGTTGCAGAACTTGATTTTTTTTTTCATTCTTTGTCCCTTCTCATGAGATTGTTCACAACTTTAACAAACCTCTTTTGTAAGTCCAATATAGGAAAATTATCCAGGTCATTCTCTTAGTTTATCGTTTGTATATCTCTTATAATTATTAAAACAAACGTGGTTTCTTTGATATGTCCAATATAATATCTTTTTTCCATATCTTTCTGTACATTCAAATGTAGCCTGTCATTTGTAAATCCACTTCCAACTCAGTCTTGATCTTGGCAGGTAAAACATGTTCCTCTTCTATAGCCTCTTTTAGACACAGTCTTATCAATACACTTATAGACACACAGAAGTAGACAGTAATATTAACTTGAGAGTTCATTTTCCAAAAATATCCTTTAATACAGCAGCTCCCAACCTTTTGGGCACCAGGACTGGTTCTGAGGAAAGAGATTTTTCCACAGACCGGAGGAGGCATCATTTCACACGTTGCCTGCATCCTGTGGATGGGGCTTCGCTTGTTTCCATGACCCGGTTTCTGGCATGCCATGGCCCAGTGCTGGTCCATGGATGGGGGGGTTGGGGACCCCTGCTTTAATATGTCCAATGTTAGAATATTTTGCTCCATTCTGTAATTGTAAATCATATTTAAATGTTCTTTAATTGTAATATTTAGTTCTCTCCGGTGTCCAATTTTTTAAATATTATCTTAACATGCTTTTTAAAAAAATTAAAAAGATTTTTCCAATTAATAAACAATTATTTATTTATTTTATTTATTGGTTCGATTTATATGCCGCCCTTCTCCGGAGACTCAGGGCGGCTTACAATGCATTAAGCAATAAGCCTTCATACTTTTGTATATACCTGCTTAGTAGGGCTTTCGCCCCCACCCCCCAAGTGGTGTTCTTTTTTAAACAAAGTCAGCTTATTGCCCCCACAAACCGGGTCCTCATTTTACCTACCTCAGAAGGATGGAAGGCTGAGTCAACCTTGAATTAATTTATAATTAATTCTAAAATATTATTTTAAATTTAACTGGATCCTTAGTCCATTTGCAACTTCCTAAAACCAAGGTTTCAATCACCTTTTTGCTATTTATTTCAATATTAATTTAAACAAAAACTCACCAGGGCTGCCAAATTTGTTGTTCCAAAGGTTTCTAGTAGCTGAAAAGCAGCTAGCTAACAATTTCTAAAAGTGATTAGAAGAAGAAGTATGCAAACTTAGTGTCCTTTCAAAGGTGTACCAAGCAGAGTTTGAGCAAGATGAATATTCTCTTGTCTCTCAGAACTCTAAACCCTCAGGAAGCAACATCTTCCAGTGTCCTTGTGAGGGGCAGCTGTATGGAGTACATCTGGATGATCTCAGATAATCTCATTGTCCAGAGAGGTTTGAAGAGCTGGTCTAGTTGCCAGCTTTTCATTCCTTACCAAAGTTTTCAATCTGAAATTTCTTCCTCCAGAAGTCAGTTACTTACAGATTTTTATATTTGTATATCCATCTTAAAAGGAATGTATACTTGTTGCTAATTTTGCCATGGATTGATGTGAGTGGTTAATTCTGCTTTTTAACTTTTCTCTAAGTTATGAAACCACATAGTCACTGAAGGTGAAAAAATCCCCCTTCCCTATTAACAATTTGGGAATAAGCTGAAAACATTCTTATTTATTCAGGCTGCTTAATGTTTTAGTATTTTAATGTTTTATATTTCTTGATTTAATGTGTTACCATTTTATTATACATTTTATGAGACATTCGTAGCAATGGGTGGCATATCATTTTCTGAATATAAATAAAAGAATAAAATTATATTTTATTGTACAGGAACTTATTGGTAATCCTTCCAACTGGACTTCCTGCTGGGGTTTATTGTGATGTCATTTCAGGACGAAAGGAAGGCAAGACTTGTACAGGAATTCAAATCCATGTTGCTGCTAATGGCATGGCACGTTTTCAGATTAATTACCAAGCAAAGCATCCCTTCATTGCAATTCATGTTGAAGCCAGACTGTAATATATACTGATAAACATTTCTCCTATTTGATTGGTTTCTATTCTCTGTGTATTATAAAGCTGATTATTTATTACTTGTATAGGCTGATTCTATCATAACTCATGATGTTATACAGTGTAAGACAATTTACAGCAATGCAATTCAAAACAATACCAAAAACAAGTGGAATAAAATAATATAAACTTTTAACAGACCAGTTATCCTGCAAGGAATCCATTTCCATCCGTTTCTAATCGAAGACTTGGGAGAAGAGCCTTGCTTTTAAGGATTGTTTAAATATAGTCAATGAAATCCATGTAAATATTTGGGGGAGAGTATAATTTCAAAGAGCAATAGAAATAGCACTTAAATTTATATACAGCTTCACAGAGCTTTACAGCCCTCTCTAAGCAGTTTTTACGGAGGCAACATATTGCCCCCAACAATCCGGGTCCTTATTTTACTGACCTTGGAAGGATGTAAGGCTGAGTCAACCTTGAGCCGGTGAGATTCGAATTGCCAAATAAGCAATGCAACAGAGAAGATTTGCTTCCTGAGTCTTACCAGGTGACATTTCCTGATTGTATGGGATAGATTAAAACGATAGAAGATAGATGGCCTCTCAAACAATTAGGCCCTATGTCATGAAGTGTTTTATAAATGATAATCAATATCTTGCAATGCAGTCTGAAGCTGACTAGTAGCTAGTGCAATTTACAAAACAGATTCGTTCCGTGGACAGATTGTGGCATGCCCATAGCCGTCTGTACCATTGTATACTGGACCAGCTGCAGTTTCAGACATGGTCTTCAAAGATGGCCATATGTAGAGTGTATTGCAGTAGTCCAAGTGCAAGGCAAGCAAAGCCTGAGTGATTGTCCTCCCAGTCTAAGTATGGGCACAATTGGCCGCTAGATGAATTATGCAAGAAAGAAAACCCTCAAAACATGTGCCAATGTAAAGGGAGAAATAAAAGATTTGGAGTAAAAACTGCTGCATTTCCAGTTCTAGGTAGTCCAAATATCCCAGGGCATTAGTCTTGATGAAATTGAGATTGTTCCTCCCCCTGCAGACCCACACAACCTTCAGTCACCGAGATAAGATCTTGATAGCATCACTTGTTCAGCCTATGGTTGAGATTTATCACTGAGTATCAATGTACTGATGATACCTGACTCCAAACTAATGGATGATCTCATCCAGTATCTCATATACCGGTAGATACTAAAGGGAGGAGCAAGACCATAAGGCCCGGAAGCACCCCACGTATCAGGGGTCTCTGGCTTGATTTCTCCCCCCTGCCAATACTGATTAGACAAAAGAAAGGAGAACAACAACACCAGATTTCCCATGCCTAATCCCTCTTGGTTCAGAAGGATATGTTCTATAGTACTGATACTTGCTGAAAGATTGAGGAAAAGTAGGATACTTGTAATAGCCCACCCTGGCTGCCTCACATATTATCTGCAAGCACAATTCGCATGCTATGAAACCTGTCTGGAAGTTTATTCAAAAATAAATACGATTTATAGCACAATCCTCTTGTTAATATTGTTAAATAAACTTTGAATGCCTTGTCCATACCGAGATACCATGCAGAGTCATTCCAACATTGGACCTCAACTCTTGCTAGCTGGGTGTTCTTGGAAAACCCATAAAACAAGATATGAAGATGGTTACTCCGTTCGTCTCCCAACAAGCAATTTTTAGGAGAATAGCTAAACAGGGTGCTCATATTTTACCTCTTGTAATTTACAACCTTTGGACTTTAAAATGGACTTGATTGATATTTGTGGAAATTATTTTGAAGCTTTGGAGGACTGATGGAAAAACTTTAATCTCCTGATAAGAATTTTTGTCACTCCAGGGCATTAAAGCTGCTTCTGCTAATCAGTGGGTATCAATGGAAAAAGGATCAAAACAGAAAAATGATTATCTCTTATCAGCTCCTGATAGGAAATAATAGCTCCCCTCCCCACTTTTTTCCAGATAATAGTGTTTTTTGCCCAAACCAAGTTTTGCATCACAAATTCAAGGAAATAATTTTAAAACATGAAATACGAATCCCTGATCTCACTTTGGCTGCTGGACTGGTGACAGATAGGCAAGAGGAAAAACTAAAGCAAAGCAAAACTCATCTCTGCCACTTCACTATATAGTTACAGCACTTCATGCAGAATTTCCCCAGTGCAGAATAAATCTGGTCTACGGAACTCAAAAGACTCTCAAAATTCAAGAGAGGTGTTGAGGTGAAGACAAACGTATCAACTCCCTACCTTTGTGTAGAGGACAGCTGCTTCAGCCCATAGGTTTTAATGCCATAGAAAAGTAGCAAGACTTTATGCCTTACTATATTCTGTGTTTATTATTAGGGTAAGAGGAGAGTTATGTGAGTTTATATTGGTTAAGACAGCATTTCTTGGTCTAGGTTGTTATGTACTTCTTGTCATTTAATCTCAAGCAGGCAAATATATTGGTTTGTTCTCCTGGCTTAATGCTAGGCTAAATTATGTATCATTTCCTGCTATTTGGGAGATTAAGTGTTATAAAAAACAGATTGTTATGGGCTGGAGCCTGTTTTTTTATTTGTTTGTTTGTTTGTTTTGACTTGTAGATGTCCTTGAAGCAGATAGTACATTATCTAATATATTTAGCAGAAGACATGGATGTGATGAATTCATCTGAATCTTATCTTGGTTTATGCATTCAAAGTTTTCCCCAGGGAATTTAGTTCTTTATCTTCACCTGTTTCTCTTGTTTAAACCATCAAATGGTATGACCTTTGATTAAAGGAACTTTGCTAAATGTAGTCAGTTGTGTTGAATGTGTCATGACTGATGTGTACTTTGAGCTGTACCAGAAATATAAATACAGTACTGAAAACTGCAACTGGGAGCAGAGAAAGACTCATTACCCAAGGCAGAATGTGGATTTTGATTCTCCTTGCTGGTCTGGAACTTTGTTGGGCTCAGTATAACCCAAATACATTGCCTGGAAGGACATCTATTGTTCACCTCTTTGAATGGCGTTGGAATGACATTGCTCTTGAATGCGAACGTTACTTAGCACCTAATGGATTTGGTGGAGTTCAGGTAGGTACATTTTGGTGGGAATTTCTGGGAAAGATGTCTTTGTCTTTGGCACAATTTCTCTGATTCCAAGAAAATAAATAATTTAATTGAAATTCAGCAATGTTAATGATAGTGAAGGGCTGTGGAAATGTTTTCATAGTATAAATCATTAATCATCTTGCAAGCATGCTGACTCAACTTCCAGAATTTCCCAGTCAGTGTGCCAGTTGCTTAGAATTCTGGGATTTGAAGTTTACACATCTAAAGAACAATTTAAACAAGTTACTTTAACGAGTAACATCTAATTTATCATACTGTCTCACATATATTCCCTAGAGTTCTGGTCTTCTATATACACTGAATGTTCCTCCAGTACTTCGTTAAGAAATTATATAAAATGAAGACATGGTAACTTTTCTAGCTCGCTGTAGCTGACACAAAAATATGTTTCATGTATATTGCATCATGTTTATTTTATTAACCCAGTAGAAGTTGCTGTTTGCGTTGAAAATAAGGCAGTCAATCTCACTTCATATTCAAAATTTATTGCCACCCAGTAGAAATCAATAAACATTTGACAAAAATTGTCAAATGAGCAAGCAAGCAAGCCTACTGCCTAGTTATGGTCAAATAATATTCTGAGCATCAAATGGATTATATATTCTTGTGGAGTAATAGAGGTGAATTCAGAGCGTAGTTCACTCCTGTGGTGAATTGGTCTTCTACCTAGTTCTCCCAGTTTTCTCCTAATAAATATTTTATTTTGAAAGGATGGGAAAACTGATTGTGTGAGGGACACAGCAGTTGTTTTACTGGCTTTGATTAACTGAAGCGGAATTCATAGGATTTCTAGTCACTCTTTTAAGTTTCTGGTTTCAAGAAAACCCATGAACTTGAAGAGGAAAAACTAAGGAAACGCTAGGCTTTCTGCACACTGGGCTTTTCCAAACTTTTTTTTTTTTAGTATTCTTTAAGAAACCCAAGAGTTTTCAAATCAAGATAAGGATTGTGCCATAGAGAATCTCCATAGTTCCATGGACTATGTAAAAAAGGATTTTCAGGTTGCCACTGAGCTACTGAAATAATGCTCTGTTGTTGGGTGATGTTATTCAATTCACAGATCTCTCCTCCAAATGAAAACGTTGTCATTACAACACCATGGAGACCATGGTGGGAAAGATACCAACCTGTCAGCTACAAGCTCTGTACACGATCTGGAAATGAGTCTGAATTTGAAGACATGGTGAACAGATGTAACAATGTTGGAGTAAGTGATATTTTGTTTAAGACCTTTGGTTCAAGCTAATTCTGCTTCCATAACAGTGGTATGTATTCTTAAGTTACAGCTTGCATTCTCTCAAAACTAGTGGTGGGACCATCATTTAGTCAATTCAAAATGGAATCATTTTAATTGGTTTAATTTAGAAAATGATCCTGAATACCCTAAAGTCATCTAATTTAAGATTGGCCCCTTCCAAATAATCACATTCCAGAAAATATAATTTTGAGTGCAGTAAAATTTAGTCTCCCTAATGCTGAGAGACTGCCTGAAGTCATCTTTTCTTTGAATTAACAAAACGAGGACAAAAGTTACTGGCTGGATTTTAGATATTACTGCTATATGATGTAGTCTTCTACGATTCCATAGGCACATACAGAAACATTCAGCCTGCAAAAATGATAAGAAATGTAGTTGACGTGACTCTCAGTGCCTAGAAATGTAAGGAATTACGAAAATTATATTTTCACATAATTAACATTTGACATCAGACACCTCAGTCCATGTTGACTTACTAGTGCTGGGAATTGGGAGAACTATGTTTTGCATCATTCCTAGTCAGCTAGGAGCCTGATCTACAAGCTGGGTCTAAATAATACAGGTGTAGTAATAGGAGCTATTTTGGGAAAACAAATCAGCCACCATCCATCTCTAAATTTGGAAAGGAGAAAGGATCAGCAAGGAGCATTCAAAAAGCACAGCATGGGAAAGCAAACTTCATCTTGACTGTGAAAGCATCTACTGGTTTTTGTAAATTGTTTCATTGCTACGCTTTTTATGTCTGCCCTACAAAGGTGAAATGTAAATTAGGACTGGTTGGGTTCTGGAGGGATGGACTGATCGCCCTCGCAAGCACAAAGTCTTTTATTTGATATCCTTTGGCTGTGATGCTGCCAGCGTACAAAGCTCAGAACGGTACTTTGGCAAATCAATGTGGGAAGGAATTTTATCACTGGGAACCGGGCACCTGCCAGGAACGTGGTTTCCATGACTTTAACTGAGCCTGGTGCACAGATGGTATCATTCATAGGGCAGTTGGGTAGCTTCCAAAGGTAGTAATAGAAGCCCAAGGGAGAAAGTGTTCCTAAGATAGGCTGAATATAAGCAATTTGCAAATGTTGCAGCAACTTGAATTATGCTATAAGAGTGGAAAAATGCAATTATAATGCCTTGCAATTGCATAGCAACACTTCCAAGTGTTTACATGTGTCGTCTTATTTAGTTATCTTTATGATCAATTAGCTATTAATATCCCCCTATTGTGGTATCCAGGCTGCCTTGAGAAAATGATTTTCCAATTAAGGCCAAATTGTGAATGCAAGTATGGATTTGGAGACTTCCTGATCTATAGTTTTTAAGAGAATTTTGGTCTTATTTTTATAAAGCTACACTTCTAATTTCAATGGGCTAGAAATTAATGTGTGTGTTTTTTCCCCACAAACCAGAGAACATCTTTCTTGCTTGTGATTAACTAAAAAGATGAAGGCAGTGTTATGATGTTACAGAATGATGTCATCATGACATCACTGTGGGATGGGCATGGATTATATAATATGCATGATGGTCTCAGGAAGTGCTTAGTGGTGGAGTGGCCTAGAGGTGAAGCTCTCACCTTACAATCGGGAGGCTGTGAGTTCAATCCTAGATAGAGGCAGATATTTCTCTCTCTGATCTCATCATGATGAGGATATAGCTGCTGAATATAGCTCCGCATTGGCGACAGGAAGGGCTTTCGGCCAGTAAACACTCAGATCCATTCAGTTGCCTAGACTTCACCCCGCAAGGGATTATGGGGTCATTAAAAGAAGATGATGTCTCAGGAAGCGCTTGATGTCACTTCCCTCTCATGCTCCTTCCAACTGGCGGTTAGCTGATTGACTATTTTCTGTTCAGGTATACATTTATGTGGATGCTGTTGTCAACCATATGTGTGGAGCTGCTGCTGGATATGGCCACCATTCTACATGTGGAAGCTACTTTGATTCAAACAAGCAAGATTTTCCTGCTGTACCATACTCTGAATGGGATTTCAATGACGGGAAATGCAAAACTGTCAGTGGAGACATAGAAAATTACCATGATCTCTACCAGGTACTTTTCTGAATTCATTAAAAGGTAGTCCTCGACTTATAGCCACAATTGAGCCCCAAATTTCTGTCGCTAAGTGAGACATTTGTTAAGTGAATTTTGCCCCATTTTACGACTTTTCTTGCCACAGTTGTTAAGCAGATCATTGGAGTTCTTAACTTAGTAACACGATTGTTAAGGGAATTTGGCTTCCTCATTGACTTTGCTTGTCAGAAGATCTCAAAATATGGCCACATGATCCTGGGACAGTGCAACCGTCATCAATATGAGTCAGTTGCCAAGTGGTTGAATTTTGATCACGTGATCAGGGGATGCAGTGGTCATAACTCTGCAAAACAGTCCCAAGTCACTTTTTTCAGTGCCATTGTAACTTTGAAAGGTCACTAAATGAACTAAGTTGAGGAATACCTGTATATATGTGCTTTCTGTTCTTTATTTTTTAATGGTTGAAACAGTCATGCCCAGTGAGATTGCATATAGACAGTCTCATTCTTAAGCCAGGTTTCTGGCACTTGTAGATAGAACATATCATGAGTTTATTATTTTAATTATTATTTATTTATTATTTTTAATTTATTTGTGTCCTGCCTTTATTATTTTTAAAAATAGCTGAAGGCAGCAAACAACAAATCTTTCTCTTCCTATTTTCCTCACAACAACAATCCTGTGAGGTAAGTTGATTGAAGAAAGAGTGACTGGCTGAAAGTCACCCAGCCGGCTTTCATGACTAAGGCAAGACTTGAACTCACGATCTCCTGCTTTCTAGCCTGGTGCCTCAACCATTAGACCAGTTCAGTATTTCACAGGATTAAGCTCTAGTGTAAATATGACATTGAGCGCATGAAAGTGGATACAAGTAAAATTCATGTATGCATGTGTGTGAGTTACTAGAACTATATGTAATCTGAGCAGAAGAATAAAACCTGACAAAAATCAATTAGAATTTCTTAAAACAGAACCTTACATGTTGGCTGTGAGCTGTAAATCTGTGAGCTGTATAGAGATGCAAGCATTTCTGGGACCCAGTGGCCCCCATAACTACTTCTGTCATCCCAACTGACAACATATGGTTAACATGAAGGACAGTTTGAGCCACGAAACTGATTTAAAGGAGTAAATACTGACCACAGTTTATGATTTAGAAGCAATCCTAACTTGTGGTAAATGCATAGGTAAAGGTTTCTTAAGTTTGCTTTGCTGCGGTCAAGATGATTAAAGGTGCACTTTAACTAGACTGGATCTTTCCTTGCTGAAATAGGGGGTCAGCAATCTGTGGATTGTATGTGGTCCCTGTACCACATTAGGAGTCTTGACAAAGTAGGAAGGGCTGGTAATGTTCAGAGGAATTTATAAAATTTATGATTTAAGCCTTGCAAGGAGATTAATTGTAGGTAGCCCTTTTTTACACGCCTTAAAAACTCTCTATTCTCACCAATGCCAGGTTATTTTTTACCCATGTTAAGGGAAATTTAAGGGGCAAAATGTGTTATCTAAGTCTCTGCCAGCTTCTTCATTAAACCTCCCAGCACTGCCTCCCCAAAATGACAAAAGTTTTTTTTTTCTCCTGTTCATTCTGTGACCACATCTTTTTTCAGTTCCAAGTCTTACATAGAATATCACACACACACATACTACATATATATACACACACATGTATGCTCACACAGACACATAATGCGTACTTCTACTCTACACTATGGCTTGGTGTGATCTATAAATGTGGTAGAAAGAGTTGGGGTGGCACAGTGGTTAGAATGCAGTATTGCTGGCTAATTCTGCCAACTGCCAGGAGTTCAATCCTGGCTGGCTCAAGGTTGACTCGGCTTTCCATCCTTCCAAGATCAGTAAAATGAGGATCCAGATTGTTGGGAGCAATATACTGATTCTGTAACTGTTTAGAGAGGGCTGTAAAGCAGTATATAAGTCTAAGTGCTGTTGCTATTGCTACTCAACATAAACGTTGGTTAAGTTAATTCAATACTTTCTGCTTCAGCAGTTCTGGAGCTGTATGTTGCCATGTAGTAGTATATACTATTAAATGAAAATCATTAAAACATTAAGATTCTGGTGAGTGCATGGTAATTCTACCCATAGAGAAGGCTACCTGCTGAGTCTCCACACGATCCTTTTTTTAATCATGTGCAATTAATGAGAGGACGCTGTGCTATATCTCTGCATTATATTTTATGCTGGGCACAGAGGAATTACCTGCCCACAGTGAGTGAATTTTCAAAGTCAGTTTTATTTATGGATTGCAATAAGCAAGTTTTTGTACTGCCCAACAATCCCGTCTGGACTGTTCCCAAAATAAACTTTAAAAAAGCAAAATACATCAACTGTAATAATACTTAATACTGATTGTAAAAGAAATGTACCAACCACAGATAATCAGTTCAGTAACAGGTAATGAATTGGAAGCACATTATTGAAAACTGAAGACATAAAAAAAAAAGATTGGGAGAATAGAAACTGTTGTTTCTCTCCTGCCTCCAGCCCCAAACCCCCTCTAAATCTATCATGCAAGATGAATCCATTTTGGGAGAACCATCAAGAACTCAGCTGCAATGGCTCCTCTGAGACTAAATACTGTTTTAATATGTTATGGCTTTTTTAAAAAAATGTATAAAGTATGCCTTCTATTTTAAGAAAACAGCGTGTATCTTAGGTATCCAAACTTTTGGTAATTTCACTCTGTTCCAATTTCGTGAGCTTGGTGGGAAGCATCCTTATATCTTCTCCATAAGACACTTTGAAATTAAAGGGATGAAGGATGGCTGAAACAGAGCTAGCATAATTAACTTCTGCTCAGACTGACCAAAGTTTGGGGGATGGGGCTGATTTGAAGAGTTGCAGGTGGGATGAACTGTCCCTTAGGGCTAGTTTAGATCTCTTCTATGAAGACCTGCTAGCTGGCATCTCCTCATGGGCAGGATGCCAATGTGAATAGCATTTTGTTGCTTGAGGAACATCATGAAGTCTCCATTGACTCATATGATTGTTTTGAATAATTGTCACTGCTCTCCTGGAATATTGCTGAGTATGAAGTCAGAACAAGGAATCCTGCCTTCATGACTTATATTACCCAGTTTGATATTCTTTTATTTCAGAAACCTGGCAGGTAGTAATTTGTACCCTGAAGACTGTAGACTTTTGTCACATCTGGTAGTCCCTGAGACAGGATGAGAGAGATTCCATGTAGACTTGAGAATCCATATCTGTCAATCATAACACCATTATTTAGGATTGGAACTTCTTATTTTATTTGGGCTTATTTTAGTAACAATGTTCTTAATTACTTTTAGACACTGCTTATTGTTTTTCTCTTCTGCACATATACATATATATTAAAGGATGCAATACTTTTTGTTGTGGTGCAGTGCTTAGAGTGCAGTACTGCAGGCTACTTCTGCTGACTTCCAGCTGCCAGCAATTCGACAGTTCGATTCTCACCGGCTCAAGGTTGACTCAGCCTTCCATCCTTCCGAGGTGGGTAAAATGAGGACCCAGATTGTTGGGGGCAATATGCTGACTCTGTAAACCACTTAGAGAGGGCTGTAAAGCATTGTGAAGTGGTACATATTGCTATCTTCTTTGTATCTGGCCTCGGGTTTGTAATAAACAAATTTGAATTTGAATTCAGTCTTAATGCTGAGTTCACTTTTCTAGATCCTTTTAGCAGCCATCCATGAGAATTTCATCCTTGTAAATGCGTACATACCCCCTAAGACCCCTCACCTTTAAACGGTAGAAATCTGGTCAAAAACAGAAATCTGCATGAATATTTCTTGGTTCTGACATTGCTATGGCTAGGGATTTTAACATAAGATTATATTTAAATGACAATCTGCTGTAATTCTAAATTTTATCATTGCAACCCATCCGAGAGGTTGGCCCTCAACTTGAATATGTATGTATGTATGTATGTATGTATGTATGTATGTATGTATATATATGTATGTATATCTGAAGTGGTGTAGCGTTTCCTGCCTGGGCAGGGGATTGGACTAGAAGACCTCCAAGGTCCCTTCCAACTCTGTTACTATGTATGTATGTATGTATGTATGTATGTATGTATGTATGTATGTATAATATTTATAAGCCACCCATCTTACCTTAAAGTAACTCTTGGGCAGCTCTGAGTTCTATAGACTGGGTGTTCTAATCCCACCTTAACCATAAAAGCCAGCTAGGTGACCTTGGACCTCTCTCTCAACCCAATTCACCTCACAGGGTTGTTGTTGTTGTGGGGAATATAACAAGAAAAATGTGTGTTGGATAATTTTGACACCTTGAGTTACTTGTAAAAATAATAAAAGTGGGATACAAATAAATAAACAAACAAACTGAAATTTTTCTTTGGTTGCCAGAATCCAAGAATAACTTTGGAGACTTTAGAGACTGTTTATGTTGGAAAATGTGTGTTGGGTATGTTGATTTCTTTAAATGAACTTTCTGAACAGGTTCGGGACTGTCGCCTTGTTAGCCTTCTTGATCTTGCACTAGAGAAGGATTATGTGCGTTCCAAAGTTGCAGAGTATATGAATCACCTAATTGACATTGGTGTAGCAGGATTTCGCATTGATGCTTCCAAGCACATGTGGCCTGGGGATATGAAAGCCTTTTTAGACAAACTAAAAAATCTCAACATGAAATGGTTTGCTGAAGGGACAAGGCCATTCATCTTCCAAGAGGTAAACTGCCTACATATTTATTTTATATTAAGGATCAATATCAAATATATAACAAAGATTGGAAAGAAGGCAAATTTGAACATTTTCTTAGGCCTCCAGCTCCAGAAAAAAGCCAAAGTTGGAAGCAGTAGAGGAATATAACCTTATTTGTTATGATAAGCTACCTAATGAAAATAATTTAAAAACAGTAGATTAAAAGATCATAATTCCAATTCTGGTGTGGAATATATGTCAACTTTCATTTATGCCACAAATTTGAGATTGCATGCTGATAGCTTAGTGGAGGGACCTTTTCTTTTTAAAAAAGAGATGAGTTTCTTAGCTTTTTGTAGGTAACAACCTTGCAACATCTTAATCTTTTTTTCCACATTGATGTTAAGCTATTCTGGTCAATATATCCATGAATTTATTAGTAAAATTGGATGGTCCCTAATTGCATATGTGAACTGGCTCCACTGAAAAGCAAGCAATATAAAGTGATTTTGTATTTCTTGAAAGTTAACATCAGTGATGTGTGAACCAGGCAATCCTATTTGATTAGCATGAAGGCAAAGCTGGAGCTGAATTATTATGCCTGCGTCTATATAATTCAGTAAGCCATGATTTACATCAGGGCTGTCAAACTCGCGGGTCGGATGCATCACATGCTGGCCACTCCCATGCCCAGTTTAGCGAAGGGGAAAAAAGATACGTCACATGACAATGCCGTGACGACATGAGTTTGACACTCCTGGTTTACATAGTTCATTGAGTTGGTTAGGTTCATATTAAAACTTAAATCATGGTTTAGAAACCTCATTGACATCATTCATCCGGTACAACAAGCTAAACTACAGACAAGCAAAATATATTTAGCTTAATGAGAAGGAGGATCTTACTCAACAGAGACTCCATATTAGATTTCTCCATTGCTTTATTTTATCAGGAGATGACTTCTGTTGTCAGGTATATTTATGCAAAATATATAGTGGTGTTTTTCTTTTCATTTAAGGTTTTATGCCACAATATCTTTCCTTCTGATTTTCACCAGGTGATTGATCTAGGTGGGGAGCCCATTTCATCCAGTGAGTACTTTGGAAACGGCCAAGTAACTGAGTTCAAATACGGTGCCAAACTAGGGACAGTCATTCGCAAGTGGCATGGAGAAAAGATGACTTATTTGAAGTAATTTAGCTTTCCGCTTTTTTAAAAAGATTCCTAATACATTGGCATACTGTATTCACTTAATCTGACTCTTGCTGTCTTTTTTTTTTTTAGGAACTGGGGTGAAGGCTGGGGTTTTATGCCTTCTAATAAAGCTGTTGTCTTTGTGGACAATCATGATAACCAAAGAAGTCATGGAGGTGGTGGAGCTTCTATTTTGACCTTCTGGGATTCCAGGTGAGAAGCACTTCTGAAGGTTCTTTTGCCAGATGTAGACTAACTGGGACAACTGCCTCAAGTAGGAGGATTTGGGATAGTATCTTAAAAACTCTGAGTTTTTCAGTTCTCTGTTTTGGTAGGCAGAACTGTGCGTGCCATGCAGCCTGTTCTGTATCCCTTAAACTAGCCAGCTACCCTCAAGTCTGTTAAAATATCTGTGCTGAAGAAAGATTTAACTGTCAATCCAATTGCTTCTGCGTATATGGAATGAAGTTAAGTATCTTTTTCTTTTGATCTCAGACACCAAAACCATGGAGTCTAAGAGGCCTGACTCTCTCTTGCTAGAGAACTACAAATCTGAGTTTCTCTGCTTTTTTTTTTATTCCATATTTAGGCTCTATAAAATGGGAGTTGGCTTCATGCTTGCACATCCTTATGGCTTTACAAGGATCATGTCAAGTTTCAGGTGGCCAAGACATTTTGAAAATGGAGAGGTCAGTATGTTTTGTAAATTTATCAAACAGCTTGGGGAAATGAATCTATTAATTATGTATTCAGCATAAAGTAGTTGAACCTCACCTCTCCACAACAAAGTGGGAACCTTGGATGTCCTGATGGGTGCCTTTTATTAGGACAATGATGTGACCAGGCTGATTCCTCCTCATCCTCGGCAGTATTTCATAATACTGTTTAATACCTGTACCAGAGATAGGAAATTTGTGGGGCACAGGCATTCCTATCATATCATTTATGGTTCTCAAGAACCCATAGAATTGTAAGGTAGAACATTTTGAACCCTTTTTGCGGGACTTGAATATTTTAGATGGATTTGAAGAATGCAACATCCCCTCTTCAAAGCTTTAGGGATTTTTTTTCCCCCTGTTAACCAACCCATCCCACTTGCTTGGGAACCTTAAAGTGATCAAGAGGCAGAACATGGCTGAGACAGTTTGCTTGAAGCCTACAGCCTATAGGTGCCAAATATATTTAATAAATAAATGAATAAATGAGATCATGCTTAGTTGGCACCTGGTCTGTAGCTCCAAGGTTGTGACCCTAAACTCAGTAATGGGCTGGACGAGAGCCAGTCAACAGAAGATAAGAGAATAACAGAGTTGGAAAGGACCTTGAAGGTCTTCTAGTACAACTCCCCTGCTCAAGCATTATATACCATTTATATATACCATTTTTGACAAATTCTGAAATGGTATAAGTTTTCCTCCTTGAGCAGAGAGTTGGACTAGAAGATAAATTCTGAATTCTGTTGCATTTATTAATAGATTTGCCTATATAGATCTTCCTCTTGGGCCTGAGGGATAAACAGTTGGAAAAATTGGAATTCTGTTTTTGTATATGATAATCACAGTGAAATTATTGTATGCACAAAGATAGAAAGATATACGGCAAATAAACTTAGTAAAACAAACAAACAAACCTAGGAATGGTTGGTGAAGGTGATAGAATTTACTGAGGTGGCCAAACTGACATTTGATTAGAGAAAAGACATTTATTGCTGACTGGAAACCCTTTATGGACTTTTTGCGTAAAAAAAAAATGAAATTATGATTGTCAGGCAGCATAGTCTAGTTTATATATTTTAATCTCACTTGTTTTATTTTTTTTTTTACATTTTCTTTTCATGTCTAATTTGTATTTAACAACCAGGATATTAATTCCTGGACTGGTCCCCCAAGTTATGAAGATGGATCAATTAAACCTGTAACAATTAATCCAGACACAACCTGTGGCAATGACTGGATCTGTGAACATCGGTGGCGTCAAATAAGGTTAGAAAATTTCACAATTCCTAGATATGCATACTTCCCAGATCCTGTCATCTTCTAGACCAATTGGACTTCAGTTCCTATAATTTCCAATCAGAACATGTAACACATCAAGCTGGGAAAAAGCTAATGCAGGTCAAGATTTTGAATAACTATTTTTCCTTCTCTTCTCCAAGGAATATGGTTATTTTTCGCAATGTTGTGGATGGGCAACCAATTACCAATTGGTGGGACAACAACAGCAATCAAGTGGCATTCGGTCGCGGTAACCAAGGATTTATTGTCTTCAATAATGATGACTGGTAAGTAAACAGGGATTTTACATATAGGAGGCAGTCATTTTATTGGAATTTGGGACTACATTGCAGCATTTCCCAAACAAATGCCTCTCAGGACTGTGACTGCGGACTCCATAACCTTCATCTAACCTTGCAGTTAGTTTTTCTGGCTAGAGAATATGGGATCTGTAGTCCAGAATTCTGGAATGTACTGGGCTTAGAAAGGCTACTATCTGTCTCAAACAATCTGGTTAGTCTGATTCAGATAATCTCACGAAAGTGTTTATTACATATTTGCTTATTTATTAAAATCATAATTAATTAATTAGTATGCTGCCTGACTTCCAACAACTCTGGCCAGCTTTTAGCTGATCTTTGGGTTTGCACCTTTACCAACTACTATTGAAAGAAGAATATGGTTGCACACAACTCACAAAATAATAGCAACAGTAGTGTACAAACAACTTTGCAAAGCAGTTGGGCCCCATAAGCCAATTTTTATGATTTCAACTCAAAACATTCTTAAACAAATGAAGTACAGGAAAAGATGAAGAACATATCTATAGGAAGGAGTAGAGATATTATCAAAAAAGCCTGACATAATCTACTTTGGGACTTTAAATGCTAAAAGACAACACTTTGATTTGGGACTGGGAAATTGGATACCAATGTTGGCATTGTATTACAAAGTAGAGTCTCAAAGCAACAAAATTAAATCTAGGGAATAAAGGTGTATGATATAAAATCAATACATTTGCCTAATTTGAACACTTTTCTTTATTAATAGGAATCTGACAGCCACATTGCAAACTGGCCTTCCTGAAGGAATTTATTGTGATATTATATCTGGACAGAAGGAGGGTAATGGCTGTACTGGAATTAATATCCAGGTCCATGGAGATGGCACTGCTGATTTTAAGATTAGCAATTTTGCTGAGGATCCATTTGTTGCCATTCACACCAAATCTAAACTATAATCTCAGTAAGAGAAAACATATTTCAGCAATTTTGTTTTCCAAAGTAATGGACGTCTTCAAAATCATGTTTGTCTTCCAATAGTTTTTCCATTTGCTTTACTGAGAAAAGGTCTTTGCTCTTCGTTTTGTCTGTGGGTTTTTGTTACATTTTGCCTGTTAAACGTATCTCAAATAACTTCAGGTGGCCAATCCTGAAAGAGAGCATAATAATGTATAAAATAGTCACAACATTTACTATCCCATCACATGTTGATCTTCATCCCATCAATAGCTAGCTCTGACCTCTGCAATATGGGGTCTTTCTTTCCATATCAGTGGTCCCTAACTTTTTTGGTTCTGCGGACTGGCAGCGGGGTGGGAGAGGAGATGGATTCCCGCAAGCACCCAGGACCAGGGATTGGGGATCCTGCTGTACATAATAATTCATCACAGAATAACCACTGTATTACCTTTATTGTTAATGTTAAGAGAACCTTGCAAGAGTGAAAGTATTTCACACCCCCCCTCCTTTCCTTTTACTTTACAGAAAACTAGGAGGGTTTCTTCTGAAACATTTCCCATACCCTCCCTCCTTTTGAGGGCTGAGATGTCTTTTACATGCCGGTTGTCCAGTCTACATTTCTCTCTCTTGTCTTGCAAGGTCATTCCCACATGCCATTATGGTTTCCCACCATCTTTACATAGGGGATGTCTATAAAGTGAGGTAGCTTAAGCTGTAGGTGACATTTGCATTGAATTGAATCTGTTCTTCCTATATTTAACTGATGGAGACCATGGAAGGTAGCTACGGTAGATGTTGAAGAAGGTAAATCCTAGCAATGTTTTTTAGCAAGACATTTCCCAGAAACAAAAATAGGAACAAAGTGGGATTGCATAGTAAAAGAGTATGAACACGCCTTAAGCAACCAAGCTCATAAGTCTGAAGTTGGCTCAATGCCAAGTGTAACAGGATGTGAAAATTATTTGCCATTCAGAAACATATGTATTTCTGTAATTATTTTACTTAGAGCAAAACAGTGTTATATACACTATTAACACAAAATACTGGTGTATATACATACACTCAAAGCCACACACATACACATCCTCACCATTGCCAAAGATACGTTTAAAATAGTTGTAAATATTGGGAAGTATTACAGAATAACTTAATTTAAAGCTGTGTCTTGTTTTATTTTGAATTTGTAATATCCAGAATCAGATAAAAAGAACTCTTGCTTGACAATAAATCTTGACAATAAATCAGTCACCAAACGAGAACTTTCTGTCTTTTGTTTAAATCCATATCCATTGTTATAATATTGCAATACAAAGAAAATAGAGAAAAACCCAAGGTGATACATAAAAAGATTGCTACATTTGAATTAAACAAAATATAGTGGAAAAAGAAAGTAACTTTTTAATGGTATATCTTACCTTGTCCTTCTGTTGGTATCCCCAACCACTAGCCGCTGTTTACCGGTAAATATTTGGACTTTGCATCAAATACTAATTGTTGCCAGTTTCTATTTGAATCCTAAAAAATATATTCCAGGGGTTCAAATCTGCCATATATTTTATATAGAGAGCCATTTCTGCTTCAACTTAACTAAACTTTTTTTGTGGATGTGTACAGTCAATGTTGCTATTATGGCATATATCCAATTTTAGTCTCCCAGTCTGATATCATAGCAAGGTATCTATTTTCCAATATTGTGCTAGGTTTATTTTTGCTTCAATCTTATTGTTTCTTACTAAATTTAATATTTTTCATGCCTGGAATTATGACCGATAGAAATACCTGTGGTATCAATTCATATTTTATTTTTAGTTTTTTTTATTCTTTTAATGTATTTCTTTCCAATACTTTTGCATTTTTGCATTTCCACTATGTATAGTAAAATGTTTTTTCTTTGTTACAACATTTTCAACATTTGTCTGTTTTTATCTATCTTCGTAGATATCATAATTAATATGTCTTCTATAGAACATTTCTAGATAATATAAATCAAATTGTGCCTTAGAGTAAGTTTTATTGATTTTTTTCCCCATAGCTCTTCTCTTTGGTCCATTGTAATTACTTTTCTCAAATTTTGCATCCATTTCATCTTCTAATTATTTAATTTGTTCTGTCTCTATGTCATATTTCAGCAACAATGTATGCATCCATCTTAAATTCTTAATAATCTTAATGAACTTGGTTTTGTATAAGAATTTCAAATTTTGTCATCTTTCTCAAACGCCCTCCTTTTTGAGATTATTTTTATTTTTATGGTTATTTATAAATGGATTAACCATGGTAAATTACCGTATTTTTTGGACTATAAGACACACCTTTTCCCCCCAAAAAAGAGGGTGAAAATCTGGGTGCGTCTTATACTCCGAATGTAGCCCCACCCAGCTTCTCAAATAGAGGTTTCAGAGGCTGAAAAAAGCATCAGAAACGAAGCATCAGAAACGAAGCCTCCAAACAGAGCTTCAGAAAAAAAAGTCTCAGGAACAGAGCTTCAGAGGCTTTTTTTCTGAAGCTCTGTTTCGGAGGCTTTCAGAGGCAGAAAAAAAAGCAAAAAAAAAAAAAAAGCAAGGCACAGAGCTCACAACCAATGATCCTGTTGCTAAAATTCACCTCTGGGAACAGCTGATTGGGGGTATTCACCTGCCAATCAGCTTTTTTCTTATTTTCCTCCCCAAAGACTAAGGTGCGTCTTATATTCCGGTGCATCTTATACTCCGAAAAATACTGTAACTTTATGTTCTAGTTGCTCTGAAACTTGAAATAACATCTTTGATCTTCATATATTTGACCAAATCGGGAGATGAAATGTATTTCAAAGACCTGAAAATTTATCAGAAAGAGAGCAAAGATCTGCCATCTGAGCAGCAGAATATAAAATAATGGACTTTGGTATAAAGAGAGTAGGTTTCAATTGAACAGTGGCTGAATTCTCTTGTCCTGTAATACTATGAATCCCAAGAGACTTTGCAAAAAGGATTTTGTACAAGGTGTGAGGAGTGTATGTGAGCGAGAGACAAAACAGGGAACTGATAGAGTGTCAAATGTCTATGATTATTACATAATAAAAATTCAGTGTTATATAAGCTTGTGCTATTTTTATTTATTTTACTTATTAAATTTATTTGCCACCACCTTCTTTCAGGGTGCCTTTGAGTGGTTTACAGCATAAACATTAAAATAATTAAATATAAGTATAAACAATAAAATCACAATACAAACAGAATAAAATTATGGACTGAAGTTGGAGAAGTAGGCAGCCGGATGTATGGGAGGGTGTCCCTCTAAAAAGGAATACAACACTTCTTAAGGTCAACTATGGGATTAATGTTTTAGTTCATTAATAGGCAAATAATTAATTCATGCCACTAGGCCATGCAAATTTTTGAACCATAATTCCCACCATCTTTGCCATGTTTCCTGCTAATGTGGATAAAAGAAAGGAAGCATACAGAGTCAGATACATGAGCTCTAGAGGACCCTCTCTATTCACATTATTATAAGGGGAAGATGTGCTTAGATACATGAACTCTGAGAGACCCTCTCTATTCACATTATTATAAGATAGAAAAGTGCTTGCTTAGAGATTATATTAAAAAGCAGCTAAACCCCATTAAGTGGTAATATATTTTCTGATGAGACCTAGATGTCACGGAAGGACAGCCATATGGAAAACATCTGAGTGACCTCACTGTGAATGACACAAGGATATATATGTTACAAAGAGTTACTTAATCCAATAAATTTACCCATGGACAACAGTAAATTTCCCATTAGCAACTACAGCACTTACGAAAGGTTGTCTAGCTAAAGATAATCTTATAAACTAAAATAATGGTTTACTAATAGTTTAGTAATTAGGAAATGTGTCAATTATCATATGACAGGTGTGTGTTAGCCATATATGGAGAATGTATGATCTCATGTTAACCATATATGGAAAATGCATGATCTCACCGAATCCTTTGTCTTAGAAATGTATAAAACAGTTGTATCAGAGTTCTTTCTTTGTTCAAAGCTTCAGGTACAAATCTGGCTCTGAACCTTGCACAATAAAACTGTCTCTGGCTGACACAGGAATGTTGTTTGGTCCCTTCATTCTACAACACTGGGAATTATAGAAGTGGAAATTCACATGGAGAGGCTCCATAGTTATCTGGACACTGAGATGGGCGGCATATAAATTTAATTAATAAATAAATCTGAGAAATGCTTCCGCTCTGGATCTCTCTGACCTATAAAACACCTCCAAAAGTATGATTGTGTAATTCTGTCAGTATACTAGACAAAACTCTTGCGGATACTTTTGAGCCTTTCTTAGTCTTTATTGTGACAGTAAAATGAGCTTCTGTCATGACAATCTCTTCTAACTTTCTTCATTATCTTAAGTGGTTTGCAGCTGGTGATGTGTTTTGCCCTGTGGAAAATAACGTAGTAGTGCAGTTTGCATCACAGCTCAGGGACAAAATGCCAGCCTCCTGGGGATAAAGGGGGCCAGTCTGTTCTGGTGACAGCCAGTGAAGAAGGGTTCTCTGTGGAGCCATTGAAAGGTGAGCGTTTTGCCTTTCATGCTAAAAACAATCCGCAAAGGATTAAAAAAAAAAAAACAAGCTAAAAAGGCTTGGCTCCTTGTCCCTCTTTGCCCCCATACAGCTGTAAAAAGGCAGGCTGGTGTTTGTCAGGCTTAAAATAAAAGGGGGAAGGAAATGTAATGGGATCTCACAGGCATTTGCACTCTTTCAAAATGAAACATAAAAGAGGACCTTCAAAGATCTTTGATTAGGAAACGGACAGATGGGGAAACCATGCAGTCTCTTTGTTCTTTCTGTCCTTGAATATAAATTCGGGGGGGGGGGGAAAGGAAGTATATGTGTGTCTGTGTGATTCAGTTTATTTCAGAATGAGATACTTGCTACTGCAAGTATGCACAAGTACAAGGTACAAAGAATAAAAATTGGTGATGTAGTATCTTTCAATGCCTTCACTTGTGACTGATAATTATTTACAGGCACACATTTTTTTAGGTTACTGGGTTGTTTTTTTTATCACCCCCCCCCCCTCCAAAGGTTTGTTTCATATAGTTCTATAACAATCATTTTTGAAAAGAACCTTTATAGGAAGAACATTTCGTGGAACAAAATGGATGCATGAAATGAATTTTCCCTATTGGCCATACAGATACTTTTCCAGGAATGTTTATAATATTTTTATTCATAGTTTGGTGAGCATTCACCATGTTAGTCAATGTTCCAATATAGGAGCGTTTTTACAGAAGGAGAAGGAGGAAGAAGAGGAGGAGGAGACAGAACAGGAAGGGAAATAAAATGCAAGAGTTAACAAGATTACAAGAAACTACATATTTTATGCTGCACACTTTGTTGCAGTTTCAAATGGCCAAGTGCCTTCCTTATTGGAAGTACAGTACATTGGACAATTATTGGAAGCTCACTAGGTAATTATAGTGAAAGACACTGGGATGGAGGAGATAATTTTTTGGGATAGTGAGATGTATGGCATATAAATTTAACAAATAAATAAATTTAAACAATGTACAGCTTAATTTTGCTCATCTAGACATCCTGTCCTGGTGACAGTCCTCAAGTAACAATCTATTCAGGTCTGGGTTCCCCATCTCAGAAGACAGAATGATTAATTCACTGTGGGGAATGTGGGGAATCTCCTTTTCAAGAGATTCACATCCTGAAAAGATAAAAAGAAGATTAGCTTGACCTGTTCATCCAGGTAGCTGATGAAAACAACTGAACTGTGAGCAATCCAACAACATAGAGCCCATTGTTGTGGTCCGCCAGCAGCCTGCGGAGCTGGCAGCGGAGTCGGACAGTGAGGAGGCTGGGGAGGACAATGGGCACAACACCGATCAGGGGAGTGGGTTTCACTTCTCAGGTGGGTTTTCCTAAAGAAGAGAACCGCTTTCATTTTGTCTTGGTTTTCTTTGGAGGATGAAGGGATTATGTTTTCCTCCTTCAAGACTGAATGAAAACAAGGCGGAGCTGAAATTGCTAGGTAGCAGTGGCTGAGTCTAGTGAAACTGGACCTCAAGCTAAGATCAATTGCAATACAGCCTGTGTTTTATTTCATCGGTTGAGATCTGGGCTGTGTGAATTTGTTCTGGCGTGTGAGTGAATGAGGGATGCTGGGTCTGAGGTAAATGTAGCTGGAAGGTATTTATATATTTCTTCCCCCTTCTTCAGTTTTCCTTCAGGTCTCCTACTGCATTCTATACAATAAGATTTAAACTCCTAATGAATTCTGGAAGGACCCTTCACCTTTCTCGCAGGCTAAAGGGACTGCAGGATATCCCTGCACTGCTGATTTTCTCTACTGTGAAGAGAAATGCAGTATATTGAAGAAAGGATCATAAGCGCATGCTGGTCATGTCCCATACATTTTGCTTTACTACATGTTACCAGTGTAATAAAGAGGTGAGAGACCCAGCGGGCTTATTTCCTGCTTTTTATCTCCTACTGGTAAACTATATCTTTGTTTCCATCTGGTGTTGAATTATCCTTTGTTTCTCATGAGACCATCACCAGAAAAGCAAATAACAAGAAGAAGCTTGTTAATCTGAATTTGTAAATCCTCTTCAGGCTTGAGCTTCTAAACTAAGAAGAAGCAGGAGAAAAACAAAACCTATAGCATCTTTAGTTGCGGTGAGAGGAGAGACAAAAGCAAGAAATATTCAGTTTGCATTCCTGTGTATTATTCCTGGGTTTTAAGAAAGCCATGATAAACGTGCGTCCTGTTCTTTTTAAGCTGTCCATTTTATGTCCCTATCTACATTTACTTTTTTTTAAATTTTGCCCTCTTTCAAACTATTGTAAGATGAAGTGAATTTGAACATACTGTTGTGACCTAGGCCCAAATAGTGATTACCAGATACAATCAGTCCTAAACAAACATATTTTATTAGAACAGCTGAGAATTATTTCATTCTCAGTTTAGTCCAAATTAAGTCCAAAACAAATTCTTCATAAACAGTCATTCGGCCTTATCACCAATCTTTGTCTATTTTGGCACCCTGCCAAAGGCTTTTCTTGGCAAAAGTTCAGAAGCAAGAGACGCTGACAAGAAACAAATGTGTTAGAAACTGGATCTAGCCCAATAACTCAAAGACATAGCCCAATTCTTTTCAGTAGTTTTATTGTTGATCTGTTGGTACTGGAGGTCACTGACCTTGTACCTTTCTCTTTCAGGTATACATCTGGAATCAATTGTGGAACATGTGGTTGGACCTTTTGTACCCAGGAGGAGGGGCCAAGAGGTAAGGAGTGGTTACAGGGATTATGGGATACGTGGTTAGTTAACCCTTGAAGGACCGGGTGGTCAGGGAGATGTAGTAGTTAGGCATTTATCATGACAAAACCCCCTCTAAATGCCTAACTGGGTACCTGGGGCAATGTTTGCATACATACAGGAAATACACAAGTACAGACATGAATTACAAGCAAACATGCATTTTTGACATTAGGTAAGCATGTTGTTTATGTGGTAGGGGTTTAGTGAGAATATCTGCTGTTTGCTCCTCTGTGTCACAGTGTACTGCTCTAATGAAGCCTATCTCTGAAAACTGTCTGACGTGTTTGTATTTAATGTCAATGTGCCTAGAACGCTGACCTATGGCATCGGCCCTAGAGATCTCTATTGCTGCTTTGTTGTCTTCGTGGATAACTATTGGATATGAGGGTTCAGCCCAGATGTCGCAGAGCAGGTCATCGAACCATACTAGATTGTTTGCGGCCTTTGACAGGCAAACAAATTCTGCTTCCGTAGTTGATGTGGCCACCAGTTTTTGCTTCCCAGTGTACCAATGTATGGGGCAATTGTTGAGTAGTAGCACGTAGCCAGAGGTGCTTTTTCTGCAACCTATGTCCCCAGCCCAGTCAGCGTCAGCATAGCAGGTTAGCTTTGGTTTCTCGGATGTTTCTGGTTCTAGGCAGAGTAGGGCATCCGCACTGAATTTTAAGTATCTGAGTAGTCTTTTGATGGCGTTCCAGTGTGTTAACGTGGGCTTGCTTACATGCCTGGACAGTAGATTGACGGCTAAGGCGATGTCGGGCCTGGTCCAGTTGGATATGTACAGCAGTGACCCTATCGTTGATCTATACAATTTGTTGTCTGTGAAAGGTTCAGATTCCACATACATGGTCTTCAGGAACTCAGGTTGCATGGGGGTCTCGCTGGGTTTTGCTTCGGACATGTTGCATTTGAACAGCAGCTCGATGATCTTTTCTCTCTGGGAGAGGCGGAAGCCCTTGTTGGTTTTTATCACTTGGACCCCTAGGTATCTGTCAATCTTTCCAAGTGACTTTAGGGAGAAGTGGCTACCCAGGTCAGTGGCGAACTTGTCACATCTGTCCTTGTGTTTGCTGATGTACAAGATGTCGTCCACGTAAACGAGCACACCCTCGAATGCGTTGTTTTCTCTCCTCGTAAAGAAACATTTGTCGGCTGAGGTGGCCTCGAAGCCCATGGATCTGAGGGCCTTGGCCAGGCAGTCATACCACCTTTTGCCTGACTGCTTGAGCCCGTACAGGCTTTTGTTCAGCAGCCAGGTTTGGTCCCCGCCTCTGTTGTACCCAGGCGGCGCTTTGACATATATTTCTTTATCCAGCTCGGCGTGTAAGTACGCTGTTTGTACGTCGAACTGGAAGACCTCCAAGCCCAGGATGGTGGCCACCACCAGGGCGCTTTTGACGCTTTCCGCCCTGACGGTTGGCGAGTAGGTGTCCGTATAGTCTTCGGGGTATCTTTGGGCGAAGCCCTGCGCGACTAATCTTGCCTTGTATAGGACCTTGTTGTCCTCTAATGTCTTAACCCTGAACACCCATTTGGTTCCTATTGGTTTTTTGTCCTCTGGAACTTGGGCAGGTGAGTATACCTGGAGGTTCCTTAGGCTTTCCATCTCCTTCTCCATGGCAGACATCCATTTTTCTTTTTCTTCCTGGGGGAGCCCGAGGATGTCTTCATATGAGCTGGGCGTGAAATGGGTGTTGTGGATGGTCATAACGTAGTCCTCTAACTTCTTTGGTAGCTTGTTTCTGGTTTCTCTGATTGGCCTGCTGGGGGTTGGCTCGGTTTCCTGCATGTTGTCTGCCTCATTGTCCGTCAGGTCATCTATCTTCAGTGAAGGGTGCCCTTCTTTCCAACCTTTGACGCTCGCCTTGCGATGGTTGGCTTTGTGCCCTGTGACCTCTCTGACCTCCCTTTCCCCTTGGTCATGCTCGAACGTGACCCTATTGGTTGGGATGTCATTGGAGTGTACCCTCGACCAGTTTGCGTTTTCGTGGAAACTGGCTGATCTGGAAACTACAAAACGGTTATTGTTGTCGACAAATCTGTAGCCCTTTGTGCCTGGTTCGTAACCCACGAACCTTAACCTTTTTGATAATTTCTCCCCCTTTCTTCTTAGCTGCCTGGGAATGTGGACATCAGCTGGGGCGCCGAATATGTGTAAGTGAGCAATGTTAGGCTTTCTGTTGTATAGCATCTCGTATGGCGTCTTATTGATAGAGCTTGACCACAGTCTATTCAGGGTGTAATTGGCGTAGTGTAATGCCTCTGACCAGAAATGCTGCCCCATCCCTGCATCCTCCAGGGCGCATCTCATCATGGTTTGCAACACCCCGTTCTTTCTCTCTGAGACTCCATTTTGGAAGGGGGAGAAAGGTGAAGAGGTGTAATGCGCTATGCCCTGCTCCCTCAGCCACCTTGTGAATTCTTTGGCCATGAACTCTGAGCCCCTATCAGTCATTATCTGCCTTATTCTCATGTTGTGTTGCATATCTACTCTCCTGTGGAATTCTTTAAACCTTTGGAACACTTCATTTTTGTGCCTGAGGGAGTAGACATACCCGTATCTGGTGTAGTCATCCACGATCGTGAGGAAGAACTGCTTCCTATGTCCTACAGAGGGTTTCATTGGCCCTACCAAGTCCATATGCACCAGTTGAAAGGGGTATTCCGTGGTTCGTTTGGATCCCCTGGGGATGGCCTTAACCTTGATCTTAGAACGCTTACAAACTGAACACTCCAAGTAGTTTTCGCAGTTCTTTACTTTGAGACCCTCGGTACATTCCGTCATTTTCTTTACAATGGGGAAGCTTATGTGTCCCAGTCTCCTGTGGAGGAGGTGGGCGCAGTTATCATGTAATGGCTTGCCGATAGATACAGACTTGTTTGTCTTCTCATGGCTACTTCCTGCCTCCTGCTGCACCCCCTCTGTTTCTGGATACTTATCTATCCTGTGGTTTGTGCTGGTATCAATGCCTTCTTCCTCCCTTGCGTTGGGTGTGAAGTAGGGAAGTCCCTCGTGTATGGTTACCTTTCCTATCTCTTTCCCTTGCTTGATCAAGTGTGCCTTTCCATCTTTAAATTTTATTTCTATATTTGTGTCTCGTGTTAGCCTTGTGATGGCTAGCACATTGTGGGGAATCTCTGGTATGTACAGTACTTCTTTTAAGTCCCCTACCTGTGTGATGTGTACGTTTCCTTTCCCCACTACTCTGACCTTGCTTTGGTTTGCCACCTTTATTTCTGAGTCTATTTTTGTGAGTGAGTCTAGCAGCTCTGGATTACAGGTAGTGTGACTTGTGGCCCCTGAATCTAGAAGCCATGAGTTTCTCTCTATCTTATGTTTGTCATTTGGGTCATCGTGCCTGATCCCGTACATGGAGCCAGAGCTACTCTCCCTGGAGTGGTCTCTGCGCTCGTGGTGTTTCCTGGGGTTGGGTGACCATCCTCGCCCCCTTTCCTTTGGGTACCTGCGTTCAGGTGACCTTCCCCCTCTACTGTCGTGCTGTCCCCTGTCCCTATGGTTCCTGGGGCAATCCTTCTTTAAGTGGTTCCTCGATCCACAAGAATAACATTCTGAGGTATCCCTGGCCCTATCCTGGAAATCCACCCTCTTTGTGGGTCTAGGGTCCCCCTTGGCTAGTTGGCGCTCCCTCCTCAGGGTGTCCTCTGCAACGAGCTGACTGGTCAGTGAGCCTAGTGTGAGGTATTGCAAGCTGAGGCTATTTAGTTGGGTCATGAAGATGTCCCAGCTGCTATCAAGAGAGTTTATGATTATGCTTATCATGCTCTCTTCAGTGATGATTTCCCCCCTCTGCATGAGTTCTGTCCTTGCAGCATTCATCTTTAAGATGTGCTCACTCATGGGGACCCCTGCCTTATGCTTGGTGGAGTGGAACTCCCTAGATAGTCTAGTGGTGGTGGCTCTGCTTTGGCTATAAAACAGGTTACATAGTTTTTGCATAATATCATAAACAGTTAGATTGTCCTCAATAGATGGATACATAGCAGATGGAATGGAGGTTAACATGATGCAAAATGCCCTGTGATGAATGCAGTCAATTTCCAGTGACCAGGGCTTTTGGGGAGGTTTGTTAGCTAGGAACAGTGCATTCTCTCTCATGAGAGCAACTCTTAATTGTTGGCTCCATTCTATAATATTACCCCCATCTAACTGCAGTTTTGGCAAATTGGCATAATTTGCCCCAGAAATGTTAGTAAGGTTACTTACTGGGGGGAGCTGTCCATGGTCCAAGTTGTGATTAAACTCACAATAAGGCTTTGGGATGTCTGTGGCCATTCTGTACTTGCTTGGATCTATGTAACTTGCTTCTCTTATTACAGGCAGGTACTGGGCATGCGCGAAGCTCATTCCGCGCTGGAGTCCATCGGGTGAGGTTCCTGTTGCTGGAGCTCCCAGGCCTAGGCCTAGGCCTGTCGGTGGGAGGCTGGACCCGCCCCCGGTGGGTCCGAAGATCCCCCCTGAGGCTGGACACCACTGCTGGATGGCCGGATCCCCGGCGAAGAAGGGGAGAAGGTGAGGGGGCGACGCGGTCGCAAGTCGAGGACTTTCGCGGGTCGGCGGCGCGGCAGCAGCGGAGGTCGTAGGTTGAGGATTCCCTGCACCCAGTGGCTCGGCGGCAATGGCGGCGGCGGCGGCTGATCCTCCCTCGTGGTCGCTGGTCCCTGGTCGCGTGGACTGGCCTGATGGGTGTCGTGGCGTTGGTGAGTAGCCGGTTCTTCTCTTCTGCCTCGGGCCTCGCGTTGCCGGTGTAGCGGGTGGTGAGTTCGAGTTCTGCGGTTGATTTTTCCTGCAGGTGGGCAGTCTTTTGTGCCGGTTGTTGGTGCGCGCGGAGTTTTTTGTATGCTGTGACTCGGTTGCCTGGTCTCTGTTGGTTGTCCTGGCCTTCTTGTGCCCTCCAGGATTTTTCTTTGATTTGTTGAGTGCTGCAGGAGGCTCGAAAGCGGAGCCTAGGGCAGCGGTGATGGTCTCGATTGCCTTTTGCAATTCGAGATCGGTAGGCGTTTTTCTTTTTGTTATTGCGATCTCTTCGTGGTCGCTTTCAGAGCTGGGTTCTTCGTAGTCGCTTTCTGAGCCCCCCTCGTCTGTTTCGGGGTTCGGGCATTTTCGCGCCAAGGATTCAAATCCTGGCTTCCCATTGGTTGATGCTCGTCCCAAGATGGCCGCCGGGAAGGGGGCACGGAAATGGGTTCTGCCGGCTCAGGATCATCAGGTTGGGGTGGCTTACCCTTTTTTGCTGGCCTTTCTTTCTCGGTGCTCTTTGGGGCCTCGATCGCTGCTTCTTGTTGCTCGAAGAGGCTTTGAAGGTCCGCGATGAGGTTTTCTTTGTCGCTGTTTCCCTCCATCAGTTTCAGGATGGAGAGTTTGAATTTTTTCATTTTCTGTGCTGTTTCTTCTTCCGGGGCGGTGATTTCCTTGGATGGCCCCTCTTCATCTGATTGTGAGTCCAGGCTGGAGTCCTGCTCGCTTCCAGCTTCTGTCTCCTCCATGGCTGTGGCTTTGGTTGGAAGCTTCTCAGCCATCTTCTTGGTAAGAGCTCTGGTCTGTGCTCTGTTTGCTTCTTCTGGGTAGGTGTTGGGTTCAGTCATTGTCTGGAGTTATGGGCAACCGTCCTCTGCTACCAATTCGTTAGAAACTGGATCTAGCCCAATAACTCAAAGACATAGCCCAATTCTTTTCAGTAGTTTTATTGTTGATCTGTTGGTACTGGAGGTCACTGACCTTGTACCTTTCTCTTTCAGGTATACATCTGGAATCAATTGTGGAACATGTGGTTGGACCTTTTGTACCCAGGAGGAGGGGCCAAGAGGTAAGGAGTGGTTACAGGGATTATGGGATACGTGGTTAGTTAACCCTTGAAGGACCGGGTGGTCAGGGAGATGTAGTAGTTAGGCATTTATCATGACAAAATGTAGCAACATTGCTTTCCTACAAAGAGCCCAAGAGCCATTGCTGCTCTTTTAAGCCTTCTGGGAGGGGCCAATCATCTCCTGGCCTTACTCCCGAGTCATCCTTTTTGCTTTAGCTGCTTTTGCCTTCTGGCAGCTCTTCGCATGCATGCACTAGGAACAGGCTCCTCCTGTTCCTCTGCCTCTCTGCTACCTACCTCTGTAGGCTCCGGAGTCCGTGCATCACTCCCAGATGGCTCTGGCCCCATCTCTGCCTCCAACGCAGAGCCCTCATCTGGGCCTTCCCCTGACTTCATGACTGGCCCATTGTCCTCCCCAGCCTCCTCACTGTCTGACTTCCCAGCTCCGCAGGCTGCCGGCGGACCACAACACATACTTGCAAATATGAGAAATGGTATGAATGGTTCTATTTTTCTCCTGTACAGCAAACAAGTGGGATGAATTGGGTTGAGAAATCATGACTTGCCCAAAGTCAGCCAGTGAATTTCCATGAGTGACTGATGGTGGATCTGAATCTAGATGTGATAACTCAATCGTTTTGTCAACTGCTCCTTCTTGTGGGCTGTTTTAAGTAATAAATAGGGGGGGATCAAACTTCAAGAAAGAAATAAAACCTTGGTGTGCCAATGTCAAAGACACACTCGGAACAATCAGCAATCATTGCTCAGAATGGAATTCGCATCAAAATGGTATTCAAACTTGGTTAATCCTGGACTGTGCAACATATGGGGGCATTTGGGAGAAGTGAACTGAAATGGAAGATCAATATAATGACAATTTAGAGAATAAGTATAATAAGAATGCCTTATTTTATGCCACCCACATGGTGTATGGACATCCATTATTGGTAATCATACCTACCAGTAGATTTCCAGAGAAAATGAGCATCTTTGATAGTAAGAGCTAATAAAAGTTTTTTAAAAGAAGTCAGCAAGGCTAACCAAATCAACTGTTCTCGGGCTGCTGGTTCCTCCTCTGTCCACAAGTAACTGTCTGGATTCATATTTGAGGCCCTCATTATTGTAAGGGCTACACTGTCTACTTCTAGCTACACCCCGGATTTAAAAGGAAAGGTGGTGGTGGGAGCTGACTCAAGAGGAAACAGCCTGCTACTTACAGCCAAGCTCTGTCTGGCAAAGTCACACAAGTCAGAGAGCTGACTTATGAGTACCAGCAAACAAAGGTGTACTTGCTGCAGCTTGTTCTTTCCAGACCCTTCAACCTTCAACATCAGGGGTTGAAGGCAAAAACAGGCTCTTTAGAGTGTCAGCAAACCAAGAACTTAAAAATAAACTCTCTCTCTCTCTCAAAAAAAGGTATCAAATTGAGGGAGAAAATGGGACAGGCAGCAGCAGCAGTTTAAGGCTTATTATCCTCCTTCACACCAGCAGACTCAATGGGGGCAAAATCTCTGGCCCCTTCCTTTCTCCTCCTAAGTCTTTCTAATAAGCACCTGACAAATGAGCCAGGTTGCTGGCATAAATGGGTGGGAGACTCTGTTTATACAGGCCTTGATAAAGGTCATTTCCAGTATTTCCTCTGCCTGCTCCTGCCCTTTCAGCAGAGCAAGCTTTAAGCTTAGCCAGCCAATGGACCATTGCGGTCGGAGCTGTGGCTGTTTTTCCTTCACCACATTCTGATTAAAAGCATCCAAAGCAAGAGCTACACAATCAATAGGGTCCAAGCTCTTGGCTACCGTGCTAACAGCTCTTCCAAAAGTTGCTGTTACAGTTTGATTTTTAATATGAAACATTTCCAGATTGTTAAATGCATGGGGCCATCATATTAACTGCATCAAATTATGTCATATAAACTTAAACTCAGTTTAGGTTTTGTCTGGGTTATGTTCAGTTTTAGGCAGGGCTGTCCTTGGCACGCCACTCAAGGACAAAATGGGACACATCTCCTTTTAAAGAATTAATTATAAAGGCTAAACATTGTTATGATCTTTCTATAAAGCTTTAAGACAGTGGTTGGCAGACCTCTGTGGGAGGGTGTGTGCAATGTTGTCAGAAGGGGTCCATAAAGGTTTGAAGAAATGTTATGATTTAAATCTTGAGATAAGTCTTGAGGGTCATGGACCATGGCCACAAAAGATATTTAAATGGAGTCTGTGGTGAAGAAAAGGTTGAGAACAACTGTTTTAAGATTCTGTTTTGGACAGACTTCTGAGTTTTGTAGTCAACTGAAAATTTTAAAAAAAGCTGTAGAATGCAGTTTCCAAGATCTGCAAGTGGGCATCGCACACTGCCCATAGGAGGACAGACTATGCCTTGTAAAGGTTGCTTGGAAAGTAATCTACCAAATCCCCTGCATGGATTGCCCCTGTGACTATGTAGGACAGATGAGGTGGAAGCTAACCACCAGATTGCAAGAACACAAGCGAGTGGTCAGACAAGGAGACCCGAAATCATTGGTAGCCTCACACTGCAATGAACAATGACATACATTTCACTTTGCAGCTACTAAGATTGTTGGATGAGCAGGCACAAAAACAGCCAGGGAAGTGATTGAAGCCTCTTGTCAGTCAAGAGGAGTGCTGATTTACCACCAGCCTATCAAGTACTTAGAAGGCAAAGGCTGTGCAGCACAAGAAAATGACAACTAACGATTTAAAAGTCAGCCATCAACACAGCCCAATCAACATCTAAAAAGCCACTTACAACAGGCACTATAAATAGAACACACACAACAGTAGACACCCTGCTAGAGAGTTCCCTGAAAATGGGCTCCAGCACGAGTCCAAAAGCTCGAAAGACAAAATCTCTGGTCCCGGTGATCGACCCAGATTGAATCCTGAAAAAAAATTATATAATGAATTGCCTTTTAGTGGTTTGCCCAATGTTATTTGGAAGAAACTATTAATGTACTTGTCTGGATCATAAATCCTATAGAATTTCACCAGAAAGAATTTCACCAGGAAGGAGATTAGAACCAGATTTTCTAATAAGCACTCAGGAAACATGTAGGCTCAGAAAGAAACATAGTTGTGTTTATTTCTGTGTAATAGTTTGGAATGCTTTGTTTTATTTGGCATTAATATATATATAAGACCTTTTCATTAAAGACAACATCATCTGTATATTATGGTGGAATTGGAATGAAGTCTTACCCCCACTTAATAACAGTTTACTGACTAATAAAGTCTATTAGGAATAATTTATTATCACGATAAGGTTTCTTCCTCCACTTTGGTAAATTTACCAGGGTTTAATTGTGTTATAAATAAAACGGTGTGCTTTCCTTTGTAAATAGCTAATGCAATAAGGTGCTTTAATTGAACCAAGGTAGGAAATAGAAATAGAAATGTTCTGCGCTGATTGAAAAGGGATCTGGATCTAGATGTATATTTTAACCACAGTAAATGAGACTACAATTAACTGGAACAGGATGCCTATTGCAAATATGCTTCTTTTATTGGTACCTGATTATTGTTATATTGAAAAACATCTGGAAACACTGCTGATCTATTGAATTGCTAGTTCATGGGGCAGCAGTAGCTACAATTAAAGAAAACGTAACATTTTAGAGAGGTTACTGTCAGTAGAATACCCCTGAATAAGATTACAGTTAGTGAATTAAGAACTTGACAAATTTGACTTGATTCAGAAATAATAAGATCAAAAGCAATGGAAATTTTTAAAGCACATATTAATGTAAGAGCAAATCAGAAGATGAAAGCAACATACAGTACTACAGTCTAGAAGTCTGCAAAAAACAGGAAAAAAATGGTTTGTTTCACACTTGAAGCAAACATATCATATTCTTGAAAACTTGTTGGAACAAACCCTGGAACATTTTTGTTATTCCAGGTTTCAGCAAAAACAAGGCCCAATAAAGGAGAATATTCATAGTTTAGGGTTGAAATGAGGGGTCCTTGGTGCTCTCTGTATTTGGTTGTTTTCTTGCAGATGTTTCAGTACCCTTGGTAGCGCAGCAGACTAAAGCACTGTTAAGTAACACCAGCTGCCTGCAATTACTGCAAGTTCAAATCTCACCAGGCTCAAGGTTAACTCAGCCTTCCATCCTTCCGAGGTAGGTAAAATGAGGACCCGGATTGTGGGGGCAATAAGCTGACTTTGTATAAAAAAAGAACACCGCTTTGGGGGGGGGCGAAAGCCCTACTAAGCAGGTATATACAAAAGTACGAATATTAGAAGGACATGATTTATTGTTGGGTTGGCACGCTTTTATGTGGTATAAAAGTACAAAAGTACAGGGTTATTTCAGAAGACATATGATATGAGAGTCTTTGTTATTAAACTGGGAGAAGATCAAACAATGTCACTATTTAAAAATTCCAGTCTGGTTATCACCTATTGAAGCAGTCTCACATGCAATAACATTTAGGAAGGAACAAATTGTTAGATATGGTGAATTATTAAATGAAAGGGGTGAACTTAAGTCAAAGCAAGAACTAGAAGAACAAGAGCTTGAAATGGATTGGTTTTCATATATGCAAATACAGTTTAGATATGATGAAGATTCTAAAAAGGAGGGTTTTTATAGTAACTTGATAAACATAGATAAAATCTTAACAGGTTCTGATGACCATGTAATTAAAAAACTGTACAGTCATTTATTAGAAGTAAAATTGGCAGAAGAACAAGTTAAAGAAACAATGATTGCATGGGGGAAAAATGTGGGTCATGGGATTGACTTAGAGAAATGGGAAAAATTATGGTTGCAGAATTATAAAATGACAATGTCAACAGCATATAAGGAAAATTTGTATAAGATGTTTTACAGGTGGCATTTACCCCTGGCGAGAATAGCCAGAATGTACAAGAATAAATCGGAGAAATGTTGGAAGTGTCATCAGACTCCGGGCTCATATTACCATATGTGGTGAACATGTGCAGAAGCTAAAAGATATTGGACTAAAATCCACAAATGCCTGGAAAAAATGACAAAGAAGCATATTGACTTTAAACCAGAGACATTTTTATAGGGGATTTTACCAGAAATATACAATAGAGAAATGAGATATTTAATTGGGAATGTTTTAACAGCAGCTAGAATTGTATTTGCTAGAAACTGGAAAAGTGAGAAGATACCCACGGATGACGACGTTATCAAGAAAATTTTGGAGTGTGCTGAAATGAGTAAATTGACATTTGAAATTAGAGAACAAGAAGAAACAATATTATTTGATATGGGATTTATTTTATCAATGGTTAGACAAGAAAGAATGGAAATGAAATATGAAATATGAAATGGATAAGATAATAAAACATATAAAGGGTTTTTTTTCCCCCTTATAGAGGACAATTTACTGCTAAATAATTGGTAAATGAGAATAATAATGTAATAAACTGTTAAATAAGAAAATGTTGGATAGAGGATTAGGCACAAAAGATTTGTAACCGATCAATACACTTTCTGTAATTGTAATGGATGATAATTGTTTTATGTTTTAAGTTTTGTTTAAAAATAAAAAAAAATTCCAAAAAAAAAACCAAAAAAAAAAAACCAAAAAACAAAAGTATGAATATAAATCAAATTAAAAAAAAAAAAAAAAGCTGGTAGGCCTGATAATTTTGCCATTGCTGCAATGTACTCCAAATTTAATTTCCCAATCTGGAGTCGACAAAGTATCTTTTTAAATGTGTTATACCAGGTTTGTCCTTCCAGACCTCAACATGTATTTAAATGAATTGCGATATTTCTTGCTTATATGTTCTGAAGCAAATCCTAATTAAAATATTTGAAATTACAATTCAAGTTTTATTTTTAGCTTTTGTTTTTTTGTACAAAGTACTGCACTTTTTTGGGATGTGCTACATCAGAGTTCTCCAACTTTTCCTGCTTTCAGGACTGGACCAGGGGGTGGGAGGAGCGGGGCGAGAGGGGATGGGCAAGCATATGCGTCCACCACTCATGCAAATGGAGCACCCACTCACATGCTTGCATGCCACTCCTGTGGCTCGGTTCCCAAAGGCTCACACCTGGTAGTGTGCCCTGTGCTAGATTGTCACTCTTCTGAAGGCTTGTGTGTTACATGCTACACAATTATTTTTTAAAAAGCACAGGAAGCTTAAATGCACTTACTTGAAACAAATGTAAAACTCTCCCAAATGGCTTGTAGTAAAAACAATCAGTTCATTTTCAAAAGACAAAACCCCATACATATAAAATCAATTTAGGCAGCAGCTTGCAGAATGGTTTAAAATCAATTTAAAACAGATTTTGATTAGATTAAAAAATAAAGCTCACCCATTAAAAGTTTTGGACAACAAAATAACATTAAAAAAAAAGAAAGATCTGTCCTGTTACATGAAAATTGAGAAGGTCAACACCTTCAGTACAGGAAGAATAATCCACAACAAATCTAAGAAGCCAGTGCTAGTTAAAAATCCAGTTTAGTCTGAACAAGTGGAGCTGGAGCAGTTATTTTAGTATCAAATTGAAATGAGAGAAAATATTTGCTACATGATAAAAATATGATGCTTTTTGTGGTAAGCATGTTGGCCTAAAATTGAGTAGTTCTAAGTGCAAAATACTAGATGGCCATGAAGCTCCTTGGGTAACTCTGATCTTCTTTCATAGGGCCAGTGGTGAGATTCAGCCAGTTCGCACCAGTTCGGGAGAACCGGTTGTTAACTTTCTGAGCAGTTTGGTGAACTGGTTGTTGGAAGAAATCATTAGGGCAGAGAACTGGTTGTTAAATTACTTGAATCCCACCACTGCATAGGGCTATTATAAGGATAAAATGGAATGAAGCCGAAGAGTAGAGACTCATGTACTTCTGAAGAAAAGTGTCCAAATCCATATCCACATCTAATGTAATAGGATCCTTCCCTTGAACTGGGTGTCATTTTTCCTTCCAGGTTGGAGGATTTCAGTCTCCCTCTTTATTAAGTCAGCTCAAGCAGAATACAGGAATTCATGGCCTCCATGGTGATCATGGGCTTACACTAAGCCCATGTTTCTACACATATAGGCAAACACATGATAGATTTCATGTTTACCACAGAAAGATTGCGTGGGAAGTCCCTCCACCCCAGAAGAATGAAATATTTTGGGAAATATTTTTTTTAAAAAAGGCAGGATTGAATATTTCCCCTAAAGGAGAAATGGGGAAAGATCTTAAGGAAGGCAGAAACCAGACTCCTTGCCCCCAAGCAGAAACTGAGAAGGCCAGGTTTTAGAAATGCAGATTTGGTAATCCATTCAAGACAGGATATTTCAAAACTCCTTGAAGCAAGGTTTGACAGCCAACAAAGCAGGGGTGAAATCCAGCAGGTTCTGACAGGTTCTGGGGAACTGGTAGCAGAAAGTTTGAGCAGTTTGGAGAACCGGTGAATAGTTTGGAGAACCTCCAAATACCACCTCTGGCTGGCCCCAGAGTGGGGTGGGAATGGAGAGTTTTGCAGTATCCTTCCCCTGCTACGCCCACCAAGCCACGCCCACAGAACTGGTAGTAAAAAAAATTGGATTTCACCAGTGCAACAAAGACAGAATGGTGGGATTAGAAAACAGCCCCTCATCCAAGATCCAACACAGGACGAAAGCCATTAGCCACAATAGGAATTGTCCAACACCCTTTCAGAACACAAGGCCCTTCATTGCACCACCCCCAGAACAGTTCAAACTTCAAAGTCACAGAAACCCATAAAGATCCATCCACCATTTTGTTAGCTGACCCAGGACTGCTGTTGGTTCTGTTCATCATTAAACTTCCTTTCCAATCAAACTCCATGTTGTTTCCAGCATCTTTCTCCCAGCTTGGAACTGAACCAGATGGATTTTCCTTCCAACAATTTAATGTGAATATGAAGAGCAACTGTTTGCTATGCTTGGATTACTTCCTGGGTCCAATAGAAACTGGCTGCCACTAGAACCTCTGTAGGGCAAATGGATTGATTCAGGCTCTTCATTATTCCGGATACTTTCTGGCAAGGATGCGTGGGGTTTCTCCAATGATCTTGCAGGCAGTTCTATGCAACAGAAAGTGATCTAGTACTTGAGACAATTGGTCTCTGGTGACCAATCCTCAACAACTCTCTGATTTACCAAGGATCTGCAGAATTTTTTGATATGCACACTTTCTCCTAGCTGTACCTTTATTTCAGTGATAAGATGGATATTCTAATCTATTGGATGATAATGTAAGCAGATGAGACTCATTTGTTGCAGTGGGCAACAAATCCATCCATCCATCCATCCATCCATCCATCCATCCATCCATCCATCCATTAATTAATTAACTACTTGTCTATGAAGGGGTCAGCACACACCTAAAGATTCCAGATAGTATTTACAGCAAACCTCACATACAAAATGGTTTCTTGTTACAATATTCCATTAATTTAGATACTAGTCAACATGTGTCAAAATTGGGAGCTGTTCTTATGGCATTTAAACAGTTCAGGGTTTTTTTCCCTTGCCCTTATGAAAATTAACTTTTGCCAGAGAGGAGGAAACACAAACACTAATTAATCTCATCAATATACATATTGATGAAACAGCATGAAATCAGAGAATGTTAATGCTTCCAACACTCTGATTTCATGCTGTTCCATCAATATGTACTTTCCTACTATGGATTAAAATTAGTGGAGCTTTACTTATTCATTAGAAATGTATTTAAAAGCGAGGGCTTTGATTAAGTGCAGGGCTAGTACATCAGAATTTGCACTCACTATTTATCAGATGCGATCTGAAAATAATTCACCATCATCTTCAAATCTTCTAACTTCACGATCCTGAGCCCTTAGCAGCAAATGCCATTGCCTTGCTCACAAAATAAAATACCACTACAAAACCCAGCATTTCTCTGAGAAAACAAAATAAAACAAAACAAAAAATTAGGACTAGTTAGTCCTTGATTTATGGCCATAACTGAGCCCAAAATTTCTGTTATAGGCAAAACAGTTGTTAAGTGAGTTTTGTCCCATTTTACATTTTTTCTTGTCCCAGTTGTTAAGTGAATCACTGCAGTTGCTAACTAAGTAACATGGCTGTTAAGTGAATGTGACTTCTTAATTGACTTTCCTTATCAGCAGTTTTCAAATATTGATTATGAGCTGTGGTGGCGCAGTGGTTAGAGTGCAGTACTGAAGGCTACTTCTGCTGACTGCCAGCTGCCTGCAATTTGGCAGTTCAAATCTCACCAGGCTCAAGGTTGACTCAGCCTTCTATACTTCCAAGGTGGGTAAGTCCTTTCTGTGGGTCTCTATACAATTGCTTTGCTATTCTGGTGGTGCAGTGGTTAGAACGCAGTATTGCAGGCAAATTCTGCTGACTGCCAGGAGTTCGATCCCCACTCGCTCAGGGTGGATTTAATTTTCCATCCTTCCGAGGTCAGTAAAATGAAGACCCAGATTGTTGGAGGCAATATGCTGACTCTGTAAACTGCTTAGAAAGGGCTGTAAAGCACTGTGAAGTGGTATCTCAATCGAAGTGCTATTGCTATTGCTATTACATGACCCTGGGACACTGCAATCTTCATGAATAAAGGCCAGTTGCCAAGCAGTGGTGGATTTCAATTTTTTTTTACTACTGGTTCTGTGGGTGTGGCTTGGTGGGTGTGGCATGGCTTGGTGGGCGTGGCTTGGTGGGCATGGCAGGGGAAGGATACTGTAAAATCTCCATTCCCTCCCCACTCCAGGGGAAGGTTACTACAAAATCCCCATTTCCTCCCGATCAGCTGGGACTCAGGAGGAAGGGAATAGATGGGGGTGGAGCCAGTCAGAATTTTTACTACCGGTTCTCTGAACTACTCAAAATTTCCGCTACCGGTTCTCAAGAACTGGTCAGAACCAGTTGAAACCCACCTCTGTTACCAAGCATCTGAATTTGAACACATGACACCAGGAATGCTGCAATGGTTGTGTGAAAAACAATCGTAAGCCACTTTTTTCAGTAACTTCAAACAGTCACTAAATGAAAGGTTGAAAGGACAACATGTACTGTTTCTGAACTCCACGAAGCCACAGCATTTCATAAAAAAAAGGGGGGGGGAGAAGGATAGGTTTTTGATATTCTGTGTTCAAATAAGCTGCAGCTCAGGCAGAAATGTATCAATTTAACTTTTCAGCACAGCTGATGCCATGGGCTCACAGAGCTCCAATGCTGCTTTTGTGTTAGCATATCAAAGTGCCCTCAGTAGGTTATCTATAATAGTAAAACTGGCATGTATGCAGGCATGTAAGTGTGCACTCGATATTTGCCAATTTACATAAAATATTTTTTTGTAAATCTCCATCCTCTCTCAAAATGCCAAGGAGGCAGAGCCAGAGCACCTGATGAAAATTCAAGTCCAGTTGTTGGGACACAAAGCAACTGGCCATCTGGCAACTGTCTGAAATGTGGAATGACTTTGCTAAAACAGCAGAGAGACTTATTTGAACTTTGGAATCTTCATTCTTTGCTTAGCCAAAGATCGGCTGTTAAATTGCAGCCCCTGTTTTTCAGCCCCCATCCTGACCCCCAGAGTTTCCCTAGATCACATCTCTGTCATTTAGTAGCAAATCTAGATTTTTGGCAGT